CGTGTGCATATGTGCGTGTGCAAGTCATGTCCGTGTGTGTGTGTGTGTGCACACCCTTTGGGAATCCATAGGTTTAAAATCTTGTGACAATCCAGTTTCCTGTGAAAGGGAACCAGGAGATACACCTGTTTCACACTGGATGGATCCGTCATGCACCGGTGAATGTGCTGCCAGCACTGCATGGCTCAGAACCAGGGGTTCTGGGGCCTATGATTAAGGCTAAGATTTTGTCATGGTTATTTTTAGTAAAAATCAGGGACAGGTCACAGACAATAAACAAAACTTCACGGAAGCTGTGACCTGTCTGTGAGTTTTGCTGTGGCTCCATGGTCCTCTTCCCCCCCACGCCACCCGTAGTGTCTGGGAGCTGCAGGGTGACCATATTTCCCAAAGAGAAAATGGGACACCCCCAGCCGCTCACCCGAGGTGAGTCTGTCGCCCATTGTTGGAACCCTGAGGAGGGCCCCCTGAGGAGTCTGTCGCCTGTCGCTGGAACCCTGCCATGGCCCCACTGGCTGCTAGCTCCAGAATCCGGCAGCCCCTGGGCTGAAGCAGAGAATGTCAGGGAGGTCTCTGGTAGCCTTACCTGTGATCCAACAAAGGCGCTGGCCTAGGAAAGGCGGCCGCAGTGTATGCCCAGTGAATGGGAGGAACGCGGCTGGCGTAATTGTTTGTTCTCTGACTGACAGGTGTCCCTGGGGCTGGGATCACAGGCACCGGGGGCCTCCCAGGTGTGCAGCTCCCAGCGACGCTGAATTCTGTGGGCCAGGAACTCTGGAGAGGCAGGACTTGCCCCTGGGCTCTGCCCAAGTGTGCTGTCAGCATGGGGAAGGGAGGGGCTCTGCAAGGCTTCCCAGAGCTGGTAGGCGGTCTGGTGCTGCAGGGCTCCAGTGCTCTCCCCTGGCACAGCATTGTCCCTGCTCCCAAGCTCCCCTCTGGAGCACAGAGAGCCCTGGCCGGGGCCCAGCCCTCATGGCTGCAGACAGGCATCCAGGATGGCAAGTAGCAAGGTATGACTCATCCCTTCCCCCTTCAGCAAGGGCTGAGGGCATCCCTGACCCTCCGGAGCTGCCCGCCCTGGCGGTGGCTCTGGTGGAGCATGGCTGGCGGCAGGCCAGTCCCGGGTTAGGAGTCAGGCCATGCAAGCAAGAGGGAGAGGGATAGCTCAGTGGTTTGAGCATTGGCCTGCTAAACCCAGGGTTGTGAGTTCAATCCTTGAGGGGGCTGTTTAGGAATCTGGGGCAAAAATCTGTTTGGGGATTGGTCCTGCTTTGAGCAGGGGGTTGGACTAGATGACCTCCTGAGGTCCCTTCCAACCCTGATATTCTATGATTCTAAGAGGGGCTGCGAGGGCAGAGCTGGGCACTGCAGAGTGGAACTGTCCCAGGCCTGGCTTCTCCCTGTGCAGCATGGCATGGCTGGGGTGATCAGTGTGCCCATCAGCCACTCTGGCTGTGAGCCCTTCACTCAGCACATGGCACTGACGCCCCCAGGGCCAGCGCACTCTGTGCAGGAGCCCCAGCAACTCAACTCTTCCCCAGCGTGGCCCAGGCTCCCTCCCACCCTGTCCCACTTGCCAGAACACCCTGCCTGGCCTGCTGTCTGTGTCAGTGACTCAACCCCTTGTCTCACCTCCTGCCCTGGGGGCTGGTGGGCTGGGACTTGTCTGCATTTCCCTGGGCCCTGGGCTGAGAGAGACCCAGGGCAGGGACTGGCAGGCAGGGGGCTAGAGGTTGGGCACAGTGGGGGCCACCCAGTGGTTTGTCACCTGCTCCTCTCTCCGCCCTGGCTCACAGAAGGCCTCGTCCTGGCCAGGGCTGGCACTGGCCTGAAGGCTCTTACAGCAGGTGAGGCCCTGGTGCTGGGCGGGGGAGCAAGCACTGTGTCCCCAGACGGGGGGCGGGGGCAGGATTCTCCCTACAGTCCAGTCTCCAGGCCCTGGCCCAGCTTGCATTACCTACCGCTTTGCCGCAGGCCATTGCTATCCTGGATCCCCGGCTAGTGCCAGACCCAGCCTGGCTAGCTCCCGTCCCTAAGGGCATGCCAGCAGGAGTCTGCTCCCTGGCACAGTGCCGGGGCCGGGGCCGGGCAGCAGCTCTGCAGGGTGCAGTACCTCCCACTGGGGGGCCCTCCTGGAGGAGCCAGCACGCTGGGCGACGCAGGGCGACCCGAGTCTCTGCACTGCCAGAGGCTCTGTCCAGAGGAGCCAGAGGGTGCACGGGTGGGGCTCCCAGCCTACAGGCCACTGCCCTCCTCTCTCTCCCTTCCCTGTGTGATGCTTCCACAGGCCACTCCTCACTTCTGGGAGGCCACAAACTTCTGGGGTGCTGCCCTATCCACTGGCTCCGCTGTTCCCAGAGGGGCTGGCCTTGGGTGCCTGCTGCCAGCAGCGAACAGCTGCTCTCACTGGCTGATGGAGCCTTTGCTTGGCAGGTCACGGCACTGGAGCTGGGCTGTTGGGGGGGGTCAGCCCGCACTAGAGGCTCGTAGGGCCTGGTTCCTCCCCACATGGCAGTGTGTGCCCATGTTCCCCCCAGAGCAGCCAGACTTGCACACATCTCTCCAGGGCCTGGTGCAGTGCTTCATTTAGCATGGACAGCCCTGCACGCACATGTGCGCTGAGCGTGTGCATACTGTACACGTGTGTGTGTACACATGGGGGGGTGCATGCGTACGTGTGTGTGTGTGTGTCTGCATGGTGCACAGGTTCACATTAATGTTCCAGGGCCTTCTCATGCGCACTCCCCAGAGCACCTGTCCTGCTCCATGACCGGCCTTGTGGGGAGGAGGTTGCTGGGCCAGTTTCTAGGGCTGGCCTCAGGGCTGGGTGTCGGGGGTGGCGAGGGATGGCAGGATGCATGGCTACAGAGTGCCGGAGCGGGATGCCAGTCTTGGGGAATGTCGCCTGCCGTGGTCCCAGGGGAAGGGGGCCCCGGCCCCAAGGCCCCTCGGTCCTATCCAAAGCAGCCCCCAAACAGTGGCAATGAAGGGATGTTCCTTTCTTAGCATCTCAGAGCCAGGAGACTCCACTGCCGCCTTGAGGGCTCCCATCTGTCCAGCTCTCAGCACCTTGGGCCCCCTACACTGTCATGGAGCCATGAGCCACAGTCTTGTGCCCACTTGGGGCCTCCCCCACCCCTATCACCCAGCCGGGGGATGCTAAGGTTTGCTGAATGCTGATGGTGTGAATTTCTCACTTGTTCTGTGCCACAGGGGCTAGTGGCAAACCTCTCAAGCCATGTAAGTGGCCCAGCTCCACTGGTTTCAGCCTCTCTCAGCAGGGGACACTGTAGGGAGCAGGGCAGGAGCGCTGGCTGTAGGGAGCGCCTGGCTCCGAGCAGAGGCAGTCTCAGTGTCCCTAGGGAGTTACTCGGGGAGCCTTTGCCCTGCAGGTTATGGGCCGGGCACCCGTCCCGTCGTTTGAGGGCCATCCCTTGACCACTGGAACATTACGTTGACGCAAGTGGTAACTGCACTGGACACCTGAGGGCAGGGCAGTAGAAATGTTCACTTGAGAGAGAAATCCAGGTGGTGCTCAGAAAAATGGTGCGTCCCTAAAATGGCCCTTGAAATACAGTCTTGTCCCGTATTTCCCATGTGCTTTCCCCATACTACCGTCCAACAAAGGTAGGCAGCCTATGCCAGGTCTGCAGCCACGGCAATAGATGAGGAACTGGGTTCTCCCTGGCCCAGCTGTCAGCTCACACCAGGGACCGCCCCGTGCGCAGGGCCAGCACCTCTCACCCGGCCATGGGGAGCAGCTTGACCTGGGCTGCCTGCACTTAAGGCCCTCTGAGCTGTGACTGGTCACCTTAGTCTCAGGGGATTGTCACTGGGCCCCGTGTCAGTCTGGGGGGCTGTGAGCCCAGCCCTGCCCCCACCCTGCCTTGTCATGCTGCTTTGTATTCTGGCTCTGTCCATGGATCTGGGGGTCCCAGTCCCTGGTTGCCCACCTGGCTGGTCCCAGGGCAGGCAGCTGTTCCAGGCAGCTTTCCCCGTCAGAGGCTGCAGGGTGACGGCATGTGCCCCGTGCAGCCACCTCTCCCTGCTCATCCCCTCAGGATCCAGGCATGGTGGCCATGCTGGTGCAGACAGGTACGAGCCTCCCCAGCACGCGCCCTCCCCTGTGCAGCTGGTTGTGAAACGTGGACACAGGAGGGGCCAGCCCAGCCGGGTGGAGCTGTAATTAGATGAGGGAAACGTTTTCGCTGCGCCCAGCTGGGCTGTGGCTGGACTGCAGGGAGCCCCCGGCTGCTTAGGCTGGCCCCCCCCCCCCCCACCATCTCAATGTGGCGCAGTCCTGTGAGGAGCCTGTTTCCAGACGCTGGCATCTCTTGGTGCAGAGCAGCCCTGGGGAGAGGGGCGTGGGCCTGTGAGCTGCACCAGGTGACACCAGTAGCAATCCCCAGTGCCCAGTTCCCCTGGCCAGTCCCCAAAGCCCTTGGCCTCGGCTGATCAGCCGGCTGTGCCTTGCCCTTTGCAGCGGGGGGACACCAGGAGCAGCATCTCTAGACTTAGGGCCTCCCATCAGGCATCAGTGTAGGAAACAGGGCAGGAGCGCTGGCTGGGGGGGGCCTCCTGGCTACTCCAGCCCAGCCTCTCCCAGCACAGGGTGCTGTGGGGAGTGGGGCAGGAGTGCTGGCTGTGGGGCGGGGGGCTCCTGGCTATGCCAGTCCAGCCTCTCCCAGCAGGGGGCACTGTGGGGGGAGGTGGTAGGGATGTTGTAACACTGGCGCTGTTAGTGACTGACTGTGTTTGCTGTTGTAGGGTTCGGTGTTGGGGGCCTGCAGCCAGGTGAGTGAATGGGGCTGTGGGGGGAGCTCATGCTGTGCCCGCCTGCGGCTATGCCGGGCATTGCCTAGGAAATGCCTTAGCCTCCCTGGGCTGGGATGCTGGTGCCAGTGGTGCCTTCGGCATGGCCCTGCTCTTTAGCTGCTCCCCAGGCAGGGTCCAGGTGTGACAAAGTGGGAATGTTCTTAATGTTTTCTCTGAATACTGTGTGTGTGCCTCAGTTTCCCCTATGCATTTCTTAAGTATCTAGGTGGTGGGATAAGGGGGTGTGATTGTTGCAGAGCCTTAGAGGGCCAGTGTGATGGTGTCTACGCAGTAAATGGCCGACACCCTGTCTCCTGGCAACTGATGGCCTGGGCCCCTCCCCTCCAAAGGTGCCAACTGAAGGTGTTGGAGAACAAAGAGATCAGGTGGCCTCTTGGCCGGGGAAAGAGACAAAGGCCAGAGGAGGGGCTGGAGAGTTTCAGTTTGGAGCTGGCTGGGGAAATGGAGTGGGGCCAGATGGGGCTCTGGCCTCCCTAGCCCCAAGATGCACCTGACTGAGGGGTCCTGTTCTCTGTACCTACAAGCTCTGTTTTGGACTGTGTTCCTGTCGTCTAATAAACGAGTTTTACTGGCTGGCTGAGAGTCATGTCTGACTGCGGAGTTGGGGTGCAGGGCCCTCTAGCTTCCCCAGGAGCCCCGCCTGTGCGGACTCGCTGCGGGAAGCGCACGGTGTGAGAAGGGGATGCTGAATGCTCCAAGGTCAGACCCAGGAAGGTGGAAGCTGTGTAAGCTTCTTGCCCTGGAGACAGTCTGCTCAGACAGAGGAAGCTTCCCCAGAGTCCTGACTGGCTTCATATGGAGCAGTTCCATTGCCCGGGGACCCTGTGACACCAGGCAGGCTAGTGCCCCGGACAAGCTGCCAGGAACTATGGGTGATGTGCCCTGGGCACCAGGGAACCGAACTTCTCTTTAGCCAGCCATGGGTTCCCACAGCCCAGCACTGGGGATGGGGCCAGGCATTCACAGCCATTGCTGCTCAGGTGGGACTGAGCCTTGATCAGATGAGGACAGGACCCTGGGGGCTCATCTTCCTGCCCAGGGTGGGGCCAGGAGAGCTGCGGCCCAAGGTGGTGCCAGGCCATGCTCTGGGTCTCCTCTGGCACAGCCTCTGGCACTGCCAGGCAGCCCCCAGCAGGGCAGGTGTTACTGTGACCTGCAGGCCCAGTGTATGCTGTGGGGTACATGGCACGACCCTCCTCAAGCCAGGCCAGTGGCTCGCCCCAGCTTCACACGCTCTCATTTTGTTCTAGGGGCTGGAGTTCCTGGCTTCGGTTTGTCTCCCATTTACCCAGGTATATTTGGCAGCTCAGTTCGTATCTCCTAGCAGTCGGGCCGTGAGCCCGTCCTAGTGCCCCATCCCCCTGCATGGGCCTCTTGGCCACACCTGGGGTCCCAGCATAGCTCCGCCACATTGTGCTGCAGTCAGGCCAACATCGACGGGCAGGGCCTGTGCCCAGGGGGCTATGTTCAATGGCTGGGGCCCAGGAGGGGGGCCTATGCCCAGGGGGCTGTGCCCGCTGGCTGGGCCCTGGTCTATGGTGGCCTCCATGCCGTAGACACTCGGTCTGCCTGGGAGACTTATTGAGCCAGTAGGGCTGGGGCAGTCCTCCAGGGATGGCGCCAGGTCCCCGCGAGAGGCCCCAGTTCAGCGCAGCGGTGTCTGAAGGAGGGGTGGCACTGAGGAGTCTTGCTTTCTTCCAGGTGGACTCGCTGGCCAGCTGGGATACGGCGGTGAGTGGGTGCCCGTGCCAGCCAGGGCTGGGCTAGGCAGGACTCACTGATGCCCGGAGAACCAGCCCCTCTCCCTGGGGGGGCCCCAGAGCCTGCTCTCCACAGCCCTTAGCTGGGGCAGTTCTCCCAGCTCCTGAGGACGATGCCAGGCAGCCGCCAGTGTGAGGGGGGGTGGGCACCGTGCCTGGGATGGGCGTGCGGCCTGTGAGCGCAGAGCCATTTGCTCTCCCCTAGGGCTCACTGCAGCACAGTGGTTTCTGCTCAGGCCTCACCTTCCCCGGGGCTGCCCCAGGGTAATGGGGGATGGGGTGAGAGCAACCCATTCCCGATTCCTTAGGTGCAGTTCCTGTGGCCTGGGACATGGACCCGAGACAGGTCCCCGCGCCAGCCTGGCCCTGCCCCAGGTGCATGCAGCCCAAACCAGCAGACACAGGCTGGGCCTCTCCTCACGTTATACATGGGGACCCTGCAGCCCCTTCCCAAAGCCTGGATTCCCCAGCGCTCCGCAGCCGTGGGGCCAGATTCCGCAAGGGCCGCGTACGCCCATTGGAAACCCAGGCCCAGAGTGAATTGCCCTGGGTGGCAGTGCCAGGGAAGGGAGTCCTCATCTCCTGAGTGCCCATGCAGTGCCTTAGCTCCCAAATCCGCCCTCCTCAGCAGCACCCCCACAGCAGCCAAGCGGGGTGGCTCCAGCAGTCCCAGACTCCCCTGCTTTGTCACTAGCACACAGCACTTCCAGTAGGGAAGCCAGGCTCCAGTGCTGGGCTCCCCTATCCCTACCCCTACCCCCCATGCCTTCTGCCACCTGAGCAAGGGTGCCTTCTGCAGCCAGGTACTCTGCCTTAGTCCCTGGCCCTGCACACAGCCTGGTGCACACAGCAGGGGCGGGCACGTCTCTGTGCATTGCAGCTGCAGCCAGGCCCTGGGGCAAAGGGGTTTGATCGCATTGCTGAGCTGGTCAATAGGGATCGTTGGCTTCGGGGCGGGGAGCCGCTCTCTGCTGCCTTTGGGAACTGGCATCCTGGATGAGCTGCCAACAGCCCCTGTTGCTCCCACAAAGTGCCCCTTGTGAGAGGTGCTGGGGAGAGGGAGCCCATGAGGACCACCGCCCATCCTCAGACTCCCAGGGACTGTGGCTGGCAGAGCGGGGAACCGGTGGCCCATGCTCCCTGCTGCCCACGGATGGGCTGCGCACTCCTCAGGCCTGTGCTGATGGGTTGTTTTCTCTGCCTCTCCACAGGAAAACCTCCCAAGACTTATGGTGGGGCCCTGGGAGCCCTAGGATACAGAGGTAGGTGCCCCCCACAGGGACTGTGCCAGACAGAGCAAGGCACACACCGGGGGAGCAGGATGGGAAAGCCCCACTGGCCGTTTGCACTTGGAAGGAGGAAGCCACGTGACTCCTCATCCTGGGGCTCCCCCGGCTTCGTCACTTCGTGCAGCCTGGTTCTGCTGGGCTGGCCGCTCCAGGTGCCAGCCGAGGTGCCTATGCTCAGGCTCGGCTGCTGTGTCCACCTGGCCATAGCCTTGGCGCTCGGTTCGGCATGCCCCACTGCCAGGGGCTCACCCAGGCCACTCCCACTTTGTCTCCCCACATTGCAGCTGTGCCCACAGGGCAGCAGTGGACTGCGAGCGCTGGCCCGCCTCCGGCACAGCGACAAACCCTTCATTCACAGCATGTTGCTGCCTGCCCCGGCCTCATGGTCGCTGCCTCACACAGCAGCACCTGTGTCAGCCTGGGGTGAGCCCATGCCCCCCGCAGCGTGGTGCCTGGCCTGGGGCACATCACACCGCTCGCCCCAGCTAGCAGCAGGGGGCCTGTTGGCCTACGCCATCACCACTAGGTGGCAGCCTCGCGAACCACATGCCACTGCCCCTGGCTGTGGGGAGCCCCGGGGCTCGGAGCGCTGGCACTGACGCCCTCCTTTGTCCCCTGCCAGGTGGCGTGGGCTGTGCGCAAGGGAAGTACTGTGGCAGGAAGCGGAAGTAACCCAGCCAGGCTGCTACCATTAACCTCATGAACTTTGGTGCTACTGCATGGTCTAGAATGTAAACCCTGAGTAAAGCAGTGATCCCGCCCCCCTCCCCCGCTCCCCCGCCGGCCCCCCGGAGGGAATTCCACGGCCCCTGACGCCCCCTTCACTCCGGCCCGGGGGTCCCCACCCTCTCTCCAGCGGGAAGCACAGAACAAACTGCGGGAAACGCCGTTCCCACTGGTGCTAAAGCTCCCTGCGGGGAGAGCCGGGCAGGCCTCCGTGGGGCGGGGGCTTCTCTGGGCAGGGCAGGACAGGACCCTCCCCGGGGGCCCTGGGGGAGGAAGAGATGGGGGCTGGTTTCCAAGAGAACAGCGAGGGGCTGGGCTTCACCTGCCGCCAGCACATGGACGAATGGCCCGTCAGCAGCGCCCGGCCCCAGCACATCCCAGCTGCTCCCAAGACTCCGTCCAGCTGGCATTGGTGCCATGTGCCAGGGACTGCTTAGCAGCTAGCCAGCCTTGTGTCTGTCAGCCCCCTCCATGCCTGCCCGCCCCAGGGCCCACGCTGCAGGGTGCCATGGGATGGGGTTCGTGGGCTCCATGCAGGCGGGCAGGGGAATGCCTCCTGCTCAGACACTCATGCCAGTGGGGCCAGTAGGGGCTCGTGGGTGGGTTAAATTCACCCAGAGTTCTTTGCGGCAGGGCCATCTGATTGGCTGACCCATCCTTGCACTGGAGGACACGGCCCTCCCGGTGCGTGGGGAGGGGTTGGCACTATCAGCAGAGCCAAGTCACTAACACTGATGGGATTAGCCATGCGCCCGCCCTCACTCAGCCGTACTGTATGGGCAGCCAGCGCCAGCCCAGCCCTGCCGTGTCTCCGAGGCCCCGCTGGGACCTGCCCTTCCTCTTGCCCTGGATGCCCGTGTGTTCCTGAGAGCTGTCGGCCGGAAGGAATCGCACCTCTCCATGTTACTCACTTGGTATAGCTCGGGTGGGACATGTTATAAAGAGGGAAAGTAACTGCTTCCAAACGACTAATAAACAATGACTTCTAAAGGACTGCGGCCTCCTGCTCCTTCCGCACTGCTTCTCCAGACCCAGAGGTGGGGATCCACCCCGGCGATCTGCCCCCCACAGGGATCCGGCTTGCCCCCCTCCCCCCCATGGTTCTGCCCTGCCTCCCCAGGATCCTCACAGTCTCCCACCCCCCGGAGATCCTCCCTGCCCACCTGGGGATCTGCCCCACCCAGTTCCTCACTGCACCTGCCTGGGACTCATCGCATTTCTCCAGCTCCCCTGCCTGTCTGCACACCTGAGCCCCTGCTGCCTCCTGCTGCAGGTACCTGCCATGTAATGTGCCCATTCCACATGGGGCTACACACACACACACACACACACATGTTGCCAGCTAGATTCCCTCCCGGGGTTCTACTCCTGTGCTCTCGCTGCTGGCACTCACAGGGCACTACTGCGAAGAAGCTCACAGCGCTGATGGCCCTGCTGGGATTGAATCACAGTGAAGTGGTGCTATGTTCGTGTTAGATTGCTGGCCTGGCAGAGTCTGTCTCTGCCTGGGTTTCTCTGGGCAGGCAGGGAGTGACTGGACTAGCAAGTGTGTACACCCTGCTCAAGCAGGGGCTGGGGCGCCCACATAGGGTCAGCCCCCTACCCCCCAGCCCAGCTACAGTGGGAGCCAGGCTATAGTTCCCTGAAGAAGGGGGTTTAGGTGCAGCAATAACTGGGCTGTGCGCTGAGACATGGAACCAAAGTCATCTCCAGAGCACTACGGCCAGCGAAGCGATGCCAGGATCAGAGCAGCCCGTAGCTAGAGTTGCCAGGCGTTCAGTTTTCTACCAACAGGAACCCAGGTGGCTCCGGTCGGCACCACTGACTGGGCTGCTAAAAGTCCCACTCGGCAGCGCAGCGGGCTAGGGCAGGCTCCCTGCCTGCCCTGGCTCTGTGCGGTTCCCAGAAGCAGCTGGCATGTCCGGTTCCTAGGAGCAGGGGCGACCACGGGGGCTCCGCACGCTGCCCCTGCCCTGAGCGCCGACCCCACAGCTCCCAGAGAACCACGTCCAATAGGAGCTGTGGAGGTGGTGCCTGCAGGCGCGGGCAGCACGCAGAGCCCCCGGGCCCTCCGCCGAGGAGCCGGACATGCCGGCCACTTCCAGAAGCCACCTGAGGTAAGCGCTGCATGGCCGGAGCCCGCACTCCACACCCCCTCCCACACTGAAACTTCCTTCCAGAGCCAACAGCCCAACCCCCTGCCCCAGCCTGGAGCCCCTTCCCACACCCAAACCCCTTCCCAGAGCCCACACCCCCCCCCGCACTCCAAACCCCTCGGCCCCAGCCCAGAGCCCCCTCCTGCACCCAAGCCCCTCATTCCCAGCCCCACTCCAGAGCCCACACCCCCAGTCGGAGCCCTCATGTCCCCTGCACCCCAACCCCTTGCCCCAGCCTGGAGCCGCCTTCTTCACCTGAACCCCTCATTTCTGGTCTCACCCCAGAGCCTACACCCCCAGCTGGAGCCCTCACCCCCTCCTGCACCCCAACCCCCAGCCCCGAGGCCCCTCCAGCACCCTGAACCCCTCATTTCTGGTCTCACCCCAGAGCCCACACCCCCAGCCAGAGCCCTCACCCCCTCCTACACCCCAACCCCCTGTCCCAGTCTGGTGAAAATGAGCGAGGGTGGGGGAGAGCGAGCAACGGAGGGACCGGGGATAGAGTGAGCGGAGGGCGGGGCCTCAGGGAAAGGAAAGGGCAGGGACCAGGCAAGGGTGTTAGGATTTCTGCAATCCCGACCCATAGCTGGCGTGCATAGTGCTGGGGCCCCAATGCAGGAGTGCGTGGCCAGACCGAAGAGCAGCGAGACTCCGACTGAGGCTCACGAGCTGCAAACAACTATTCAATGCTCCTTGCAGCAGGTGACTTTAAAATGCTGGGTGATTTAATTATTAACCAATCTAAGTCAGTAACCAATCAGGATGCTTTTACTATGTAATTAACCAATTGAAGTTGATAAATAATGCTTGGTCAGTCATTTTGCTGTGAGAATAATAGATATAAAGCACTAGTAAATGAGCCAATGAAGTCACACGACTGTGGCGCTTCTGGGCAATGTTGAGCGCTAATTGGGCTCCTGAACCGCTGGGGTCTGAGTATCACAGATGGAGAGTCATCAATCCCAAAGCCAGAAGGGACCACTGTGATCTCCTAGTGTGACCTCCTGTACAGCACAGGCCAGAGACCTGCCCCATCTTGAGTCAAAAATTGCTAGTGATGGAGAATCCACCGCAGCCCTTGGTGAATTGTTCCAATGGGTAATTACTCTTAACTGGTAAAAACGTACAGCTCATTTCCAGTCTGAATCTGTCTAGTTCTGGGGTTCTCAAACTTCATTGCACCATGGCCCCCTTCTGACAACAAAAATAACTACACGTAGAGGGGGAGGGATAGCTCAGTGGCTTGAGCATTGGCCTGTTAAACCCAGGGTTGTGAGGTCAATACTTGAGGGGGCCATTTAGGGATCTGGGGCAAAAATCTGTCTGGGGATTGGTCCAGCTTTGAGTAGGGGGTTGGACTAGATGACCTCCTGAGGTCCCTTCCAACCCTGAGATTCTATAGAAGTTTCAGTGCACAAGCTAACAGGGAGTTTGGAAGGGAGCGGGGGTCCCTTTATTCCCTATAAACCAAACTACATTCAAAACCTTTTGCTTAAACAACCCTTTCATTAACTAGGAGACAATGCAGGCAGAAGCCCAGCCGCAGAGTGGGGGCTATCCAGTTTATTGCACTGAGTGCAGCATGTGTGATTACCTGCCCTGTGGGCGGGTGGCGTATGTGTGCATTCGGTGCAAGGAGCTCCTGGCCCTCAGAGACCGCGTACAGGCTTTGGAGGCCAGGGTGGCGGAACTGGAGGAGCTAAGGGAGGCAGAGAGGTATGTTGATGAGGCTTTCCGGGACACTGTACAATTGTCCCACCTCCGGTCAGACAGCCCCTGTGCTGTTGAGGAGGATGAAAGGCCCAGGGAAGCAGAGCAGTCAACGGGAGCAGAGGGAAACCTTCCCATAGTTGGGACCCTCCTTCCAGACGGTGCTGGGGTTGCCTCTCGCACTGACGTTACCTCTCCGGGGGAGGGAACTCCAGTTGCTAGGATAAGGCAGGTGTTAGTAATGGGAGATTCGATCATTAGAAATGTAGATAGCTGGGTTTGTGATGACCGGGAGACCTGTATGGTGACTTGCCTGCCTGGTGCGAAGGTTGCGGATCTCTCGAGGCATCTAGACAGACTTATGTGTAGTGCTGGGGAGGAGCCGGTGGTCGTGGTACATGTAGGTACCTATGACGTAGGGAAGGGTAGGAGAGACGTCCTGGAGGCCAAATTTAGGCTGCCAGGGAAGAGACTGAAATCCAGGATCTCTATGGTGGCATTCTCAGAAATGCTCCCAGTTCCACGCGCAGGGCCAGGTAGGCAGGCAGAGCTTCAGAGTCTCAATGCGTGGATGAGACAATGGTGTAGAGAGGAGGGGTTTACATTCATTAGGAACTGGGGAAACTTTTGGGATGGGGGGAGCCTATACAGGAGAGATGGGCTCCACCTAAACCAAAGTGGAACCAGACTGCTGGCACTTAACATTAAAAAGGTTGTAGAGCAGTTTTTAAACAGGAGATGGGGGAAAGCCTCCTTCCTTGGAGGTTTTTAAGGCCTGGCTTGACAAAGCCCTGGCTGGGATGATTTAGTTGGGAATTGGTCCTGCTTTGAGCAGGGGGTTGGACTAGATACCTCCTGAGGTCCCTTCCAACCCTGATATTCTATTCTATTCTATAAGCCGACTGCTGCAGAGGAGCATGTGGATTGGACAGAGACTTCTCTTAGGGGAGAGTCTAATGATAGAGAATCTCCAGGTTATAGTCAGGAGCAGAGGATGGAGGAGGATAATGTAAGGGCCAGATCAGATGATAAACATTCACATAAAAAAGAATCTAACACATCAGAAAAGGGCAGACAAATAAACAGTGACAAGTTTTTAAAGTACACAAATGCTAGAAGTCTAAATAATAAGATGAGTGAACTAGAGTGCCTCGTGATAAAGGAGGATATTGATATAATAGGCGTCACAGAAACCTGGTGGACTGAGAGCAATCAATGGGACACAATCATTCTAGGGTACAAAATATATCGGAAGGACAAAACAGGTCGTGCAGGGGCGGGAGTGGCACTATATGTGAAAGAAAATGTAGAATCAAATGAAGAAAAAATCTTAAGTGAATCCACATGTTCCATAGAATCTCTATGGATAGAAATTTCATGATCTAATAAGAATATAACATTAGGGATCTATTATAGACCACCTGACCAGGACAGTGATAGTGATGATGAAATGCTAAGGGAAATTAGAGAGGCTATCAAAATTAAGAACCTAATAGTAGTGGGAGATTTCAATTATCCCCATATTGACTGGGAACATTTCACTTCAGGACGAAATGCAGAGACAAAATTTCTCAATACTTTAAATGACTGCTTCTTGGAGCAGCTGGTACGGGAACCCACAAGGGGAGAGGCAACTCTCGATTTAGTCCTGAGTGGAGCGCAGGAGCTGGTCCAAGAGGTAACTATAACAGGACCGCTTGGAAATAGTGACCATAATACAATAGCATTCAACATCCCTGTGGTGGGAAGAACATCTCAACAGCCCAACACTGTGGCATTTAATTTCAAAAGGGGGAACTATGCAAAAATGAGGGGGTTAGTTAAACAGAAGTTAAAAGGTACAGTGACTAAAGTGAAATCCCTGCAAGCTGCATGGGCGCTTTTTAAAGACACCATAATAGAGGCCCAACTTCAATGTATACCCCAAATTAAGAAACACAGTAAAAGAACTAAAAAAGAGCCACCGTGGCTTAACAACCATGTAAAAGAAGCAGTGAGAGATAAAAAGACTTCCTTTAAAAAGTGGAAGTCAAATCCTAGTGAGGCAAATAGAAAGGAGCATAAACGCTGCCAGATTAAGTGAAAGAATGTAATAAGAAAAGCCAAAGAGGAGTTTGAAGAATGGCT